TTTATGCTACTTTATAGTAAATTAATGTGTTTATTTTCATATACATAGTATTTAATGCTGGAAGAAAATTTTTTCCTGGATTCTGGAAGAAGTATATTACCTGTCTCAGATCGTAATTATAGAAAGTGTCTTTACGTTCTCCATCTGTCTCTTCTTGTAGGAATCCCATTTTAATTCATGAAATATTAAGGCATATCCGAATTTCTTTTCTAGTTCAGAAGGGTTTTGTTTGTTTTGTAACAAAAATAGTTTTTGTTTTCAAGATGTGAATCTCATGAAGATTTTTAAAATCAGTACTGCATATCTCTAGTTCCAGAAGAATGCAGTATAAACTGAATATTGATGAATAGTTGAAAGTGGAATGTACTGCACAAATGCAGGAATATGTTTTAGGCCTCTTAATGCACAAAAATGTTGAGTCATAATGTCTTTCATTTCAAACAGGGAGTGGTTTTTCAGTTTTTTTTTTCCCCCTTTGGTATTTAGTCTAGCTATACCATGCATTTCTTGAAATTTCTCTCTAGTAGGTCTTTTATCATAAGAAATGTGTCATGTGAATTGGTAAAGAACACTTTTGAGATACTAACAAAAGTTAATGGGTCCACCACATTTAAAACGTATACAAAACCTGCTAAACAAACCAGGATGTCTTTTAATACAGATTTTTTTGTACACTCTCCTTGTTATCTTACCTCGGTTCTGCATGAAAACATGATTAAATATGCAAAGTGCATTACAAGAGTAAATGGGATTACTTTTGTGAAGTTCAGCATATCACGAATGTTTTGTAATGTAAGATACTTAAGTCTATTCGTGTAAAGATCTTTGTGCTAGCTGTACCTCATCAAAGAAAAAATATAAACCAAAATTATTTCATTGACCCTTATCAGCACTGTAGGTTTCTTCTTTTTGTGGTGACATTAAACCTTCAGAAACAGCATATATTTTTCTCTGTCACTATATGTGTTGTTTCTACTCTTCTAAAGATTAGTGTACTTCTAGTAATACTTTTTCAGCAAACCAGACTGCTTCTTTTTCCAATAAATGTTTTCTGCGCAGCTTCATTATCTCTTTCTTAAAAAGGAGGAAAAATCTCTAGATTTTATACAGATTCTACTTCCTTTATTACAAGGGCAGTAATTATTATGAGGTTTGTCAAGACTGATACAAATAATAAAATGATAAAATAAAATTTGTACTGTGGAAAAATGTATGCATGCTGCCAGAAATACGTTTGTCTCAAATTGTACCTTGTCTGTGCCACAATTGGTGTACATGGTAAGCCAAAGTTACCCCACCTGTAATGCTAGAAATTAAGCCAGCCCAGTCATTAAGGCCAATATGAATGTCAGCATAGGCAGTGATCGTACTTTTCTGATCCACCACAGTCAGCAGGCCTAGAACTCATTCTTCTTGGTTTTCATAAAGTGAAATATAAAATTCAGTTGTAGTTTCGAAAATGTAACGTGTCTGATGCAACTTTTGTTTGAATGTTTATTATGCTATTAAATTTACCAGGTGCTTAAGGAATTGAGCTTAAAACTACTTTACCAAGCTTTCTCTTCTGCTCCACTTCCTGTTTAGGGATTGATCCAAAACCATTCAGACAGCCATTCAGTTCAGTTCAACACCCTTGGATCAAGTTCTTATGTCTTTGTTATATTTCTGCAATTTTGTAGTTCAAAACTGACATCATTTGAACTGTTCCTAATTTAAGTGTGAGCAAAATAAACCCTTCTGTATTTTTTTTAAATCAATCTCTTCCTTTCTGGTTTAAAGACTTCTGAATCTCCTCCTTATTTTCAGTCTACCATTGGAAACCGTGTCCCAAAAACAAAGTTTTAGGTTAGATTACACCATCAGGTTGGCATCTGTTACTCCTTAAAGGAATATTTCAGGATAGAAGAATCTATCTGAAGGAAAACAAATTACTTAAATGCTGAAGTTTTTGTCACAGTAAGATGAAGGATCTCTTGGCAGTAACTCTGGCTAGCTAAGGTAAGAAGCAATGTACTTACAAATTCTGTTGAAAGTAGGACGAACAGTATTTTCAATAAGGAGGGTTGTCTTTTTCTTTCCCCTCACCTTCCTTACTGACAGAAAGTGCACAGCAACTTCTTCAAACTAAGGAAAAAAAACTTTCGTTGCCTAATGATTTACACTTTGTGATGAGATGTCTCAAGTATGCAAGATCCTTGTAACTTAAACTAGCATCTTCTGCATTCTGCAATATTTAAATAAGGCATTTAATTGTTATTTCACTGCTGTATATCTATGTCATGTTTCATTCATTTTTGTCTGAATAAATCCTTTTGGATTAAGGATTTTGGAGCTTAAACATTTTAATACTGATGTAATGATCCTTATACTTTTGCTGGATCAGCAAGTTGGAGCTAAGTTTGTCAAGCTTGATGTGAAGGTCAAGTCCATCATACAGTTCTGTGGTTCCTCTTTTTTCCAAATCTATTGAAAAAGATTGGAGGGGCTCTGGTATGCTGACTGGGAGATACAAAGTAGTAGCCAGCAATCTATTTTCTACACTTTAGAGAGGTGTTTGCATTTTAAAAGGGTTCTTCCCACCAACAAATCTCTCTTCCAGATGTTTTCTTTTGCTTGCTAATTACCTGAGTTTATTTATGCAGACACAAAATAATTTTATCAAAGAATTGCTACTTATCAAAACTGAATATTTTATTTATATTAAAATATAGACACTGTTTGTGGTTTTGAAATGATTGATTGGAGTTTTCAAAACTTTTAAAATGTGTTAGAAACCCATTGACTTAGGGGCTCTTGAAAATCCTTCCTGTTGTATTACTGGCTTTTAGTGTGGAGTAATAGACTGCAAGACTTCATGCAGAAATACAAGCATGTCTCAAAGTCATTTTAATGGAAGGTGAAGAAATATGATGCATACAAGTGCAGAACTGTTTTGGTTGACTAACTCTGAAGTTAGTGCAGGTGGGTCTGATTATCTTTTGTCTGACTTATGAAAAGGCTTTCCTAGGAGTCGGAGAGAATGAGGCTGAGGATTAGAAAAACTCTGCCAGGCAAAGACCCAGCAAAACAATAATCTCAAAAGAAGGTTTAAGCTGAAATTTAAATTAATTATGTTAACAGTAAGTGACAACCATATGAGTGCAATAAACATACACAGACACACAACTGCAGGGGAATTAAACCAATTTGTATGATAATTATATTTGAACTGCACTAAATTAAGCTAAAATTTTCGTCAAAGACATATGACTAAGGACCACATCTTCTTTAAATTCAGCATATGTATATCAAAGTTTGGATCACAGGTTTAAATGTTGATGGCCAGCTGGAGACTGGCATTTTCATAAGTTTTCTAGGACAATTTTCTCAGTTCTTTTGCTTGTCATAGATGGGCAATTATACTTATCATTGGGTAAATGGGATTCATTTCAAAGCCCCCCGTTAGGTAAATGTCACCTGAAAGGTTGTTTTCTGTAAGAAAGCAGGTGGTTTTGTAGTTCAAGTTATACGGGGGAAAGATATAGCTGAGACATTATGATTTGTGTTTTTATACAGTACTGTGTTATTCTCTTCAGTTCATCTGATATTATGCTGCATGAGATTTTATGGCAGATTTTATTTCATTCATTCAGCTGTTTAATCATCCCTAAATGTCTGTGTATATGCATTTATCTTTTTTGATCATTCTAGAAGATGGCTTCTTCTTTCTGTATCTTGCTGGTACCTGTAATACTCTCTTCTTCATTATATCAAACATGTCAACTGGAAAACAGGAAAAAACCAGCTCTGAATGGTCTTGTGTATGTTTGATTGTTTTCCTTGATATTCTTTAAATACATGTATGCAACATACAAATTAGGATAAAAAGGAAATAAGATATTTTATTTGTAGCAATAAATAAGCAAATATTTTGTATGTAGATATACCATTACAAATTTATTTCCTCTTATTATGAAATCCTGTGTTTATGAACTTTATGGAAAACTGTAGGTGAGAGAGAAATTTATTTTGGAAAAAGAAATTTTTTCTGTATTGCTGTCAGCAGTCATCTAAAAGAACTGATACAGGGTTTGATTTAGATTTATAGTTCACCAGGTTGTATATCCTGAAATTTGTTGAAACAATTTCCTCTATAAATATTTTCTGTTTGTCAATTGCAATGGACATCTGGAGGGTTTATTCTTCTGTTCCTTATCAGCAATAACAGTCCTGTAAATATGTGTAAATAAATTTTGAGTGCACTAAATAAATATGAGAGATGTCTTAATGCTATTCAAGAGGAAGAAAATGCAAAAGGGTAATGTTGATCAATTTTTTAATTGAGTTTTTATCCTGTTAAATCATTAGTTTTTCATGGCAGTGGGTATTCTGCAGAGAAGAAACTGTTAAGAAAAGACAAAGAAGAGTAGTTGTTGACTAGTCCAGATATTACTTCGTTCTACAGAGGTTTTTTTCCTGATTAACAAGACAGACTCTGTTTAAAGAGAAAAATGTTATGGGTTTTTTACCTGTTGCAAGCCCAAGGATTTGATTTGTGGCTACTTCAGCCTACAAAATAGGAAAACCTGTGAATTTGTCTATAGGCAATATTTGTCTATATCTGTCTACTCTGTAACAAATAGTCACAGAATATTAACACACATAGCAGTCTGCCTGCTCCAAGAAAGATCTCCAGAAATTAAGGTAGACTTGTTAAAAGAATTTCAACAGTTGTCATTTCACATCTTATCATCAGAGTTTTATTTCTGTACCCTGCTTTCCCTGGTGCCATAGTAAAATAAAATTTAAATAAAAATTTTTGGACTCATCGTATGCCCAGTACAATGTTGTGTTTTTCCTTTCAGCAAGTAGCAAATCATTCTACTTGCTGAGAAAACAATACAACTGATGTTTTATGGAAGTGTTTCACTTGATATTTCAGAAGTCACAAATGATCTCCAAAATGATACTAAATCATAAAACCAAATATTATTTGTTTAACCAAATGTTTCCTTATTCAGAGGAGGAACCTGCTCCAAACAGTGTTGTTGAAGAATACCTTCAGGAGAAGAGAAAATATGAAGACAAGCAGCAGCAGCAGCCAAAGAAAGGGGTTTCTCGTG